CCCCCCCCCCCCCTATTTAAGCGGAGGATTGTAAGCCCTAAAGGCATAATTTTTTATCAATAAAATTGATCTTATTAAATTTTCTTTGTGGTTTCAAAGTTCTTTGTGGATTTGAGGAGCACCCCGTTAGCGGATTCCAAGATTTTTAACTTATGCGCTCCGTTAAGTTCAAACCATCAAAGAGATAAACATCATAATATTTTATTTAGAAAATGAGGGGGTTGTATTTGTTAGTGGACATAGCGTTTAGTTTATCCTTTCTAAGAAATTAATGGCCTTTGCTTCCATGTTGAGAGTAAATGATCTCCAATCAATTTATATATTTTTCATTATTGTTGTAAAGCCCCGATTATCTTTCTATAGAATACTTCTTAGTCTTGCCTCTTTAAATTCCATTCCAAAAGTTAGCTGACATCACAGTTAACTTCAAGCAATCACTAGAGGAGGGTCTTCAAATAAAAAAGATTTACACCTATTCTACCAAGCAAAGTAGAAAATGAATGAATCCTACGTCACGACTTTTGCTCCCAGAAATCCTGAATGTTTGTTAGAAAAGGTAACAACACTCAGAATTCTTTAATGTTAGCTCTTTTGCCTGTCAACGCTATTCTTTCACTTTGCTCTTCTCCAATTGTCTAAAGCCTAACTTGATGTGCAGCACAACATTAGAGACCATTACAACTGAACCTGTAATTTTGTTAATGGGTATGCATGAACAAGAAACCTTAATCAATACTACTTACTGTTTTGGGTCCAATTCCTTTGAACCGAGACAACTGAGCCTTAACCTCGTCCACCGGCAACCCTCGCAGATACTCCAAGCAAAACTCCCCTCTTTTATCCCTCACAGCCTCAAGAATACTCTTGATCCTAGCCGCCTTTGTCGCCGCCAAACCCCCGCATCTAATCGCACCCTCCAAGCTCTTCGGATCCGCATCCAAAACCTACTGCCATCATCATCATCGTCATCATCCCCATAATCTCTGCAATGAGATCACAAAATCGCCAAAGGAGTTACCTGCTGCCAAGTTGGGAACGAGGATTTGAGGGACTGGAAAGCCCTAGACGAGTTGGCGTCGGTGGTGTTCTGAGAGAGCAGAGTGCTGATGAGGCCATCAAGAACGCTGATGGCTTCAGCGTTCGCTGTTGTCGCTGATGATCTTTGTCTGTATGCAGCAGCGAACTGCTGGGGGATTCCGTGGAGTTGGAGGAGATCGTCTCGGACCGAGCGGCATTGTTCGGGGCTAGGGTTTGGATGGTCAGGGTACGGCTCTCGAGACGAAGACGACGACGATGCTGATGATGGTTGTGTTCTACTTTTCTTTGATTTTTCTGGAAATGGGGTTTGCGATAGAGCTAGCTCTCGTCTTTTAGGGTTTCGACTTCTTCGAGTCGTCGCCATTGTTTCTCGGCGATTTGATTTTCGTTTTTGTGCAGAGCATTCATTTTTCGACGTCGGTCATCGAGGAAGGGAAGTGATGATGGGTTGAAGTTTGACGGCCCAATCGGCCCGCGTATCTGGCCTCAAAACAAAGCCCTTTCAACATCAATAATTTTTTTAAAAAAAGTAAACGATGAAACTCCAAGACCAACACTGCCGGCCTGTTACCATTAGGGGCTGTTTGGTTGTTGTTGGTAAAATTGTGTATTTATGACACAATTTGGAAAGTTGTTATCCACCTCATCAATTTTACTTGTATACTTTTCTTTGTTTGTTTATGATTATATTGGAATCATAAATTGCTTGTTTGGTTTGCAAATGTAACTTTAATTGTTTGTTTGGAAAGTATAAAAAGTGGTCCCTACTCAAATGATCATATTGGTTGGAATTATTTTTTATTATTTTTTCCTGACTTCAATGTCAGCTTTCTCCTAAAATCATGTCTTTTTTTTATGAAATCACTTTACAAGCCGCATCATCATATGAAATCACTTTACACTATTTTCACAACTACAAACAAACAATTGAAAGTGATGAAAGCTGACATTAGGACCCACTTTTTTACACTTTCCATCCTTTTACATGGTAAAAACATACAACCAAATAGCCCCTTACTCGTGGTTGCTAGTCGGTGTTCACAGGATCAGAGCGGTCCAAGTCCAGGGGGTCAACAGGACTAGTCAATGCAAAATAATTTACATGTTTGATCACCTTGCATTAATTAGAGAGGACTAGGAATAATCTAAATAAATTGGTATACTCAGATTTCTAGAGGATCATATACAAAGTATTATATAGTAACATTGACTTAGATTGCCAAACACCATCTTCTAATAGCTACAAATAGCGATGTCCATTCGGGCCTAGGCCTGGCCTGGTGCCCGGCCCGAACCTGGTCGGGCCCAAGCCCGTCCTAGGCCCAAGCATGGCCCAAAAATCCGAGTCTAATCGGGCTCTGGGCCTGGGTCTGGGTCATTAATGTGTGTGTTATAAGTATATTTATATGTGTATGTTATAGAATTATTGTTATATACGTATATATAAGTGCATAAGTATAATTATATATAAGTATGTTGCATCTAGTATATATAAAAAAGTATATCATATAAGTAAGCTGTATAACTGTACTTAAATAAACATAACGTAAGTATGTAATAAATACATATATAATATATATTTATGTGATTCTCTCTCTCTCTCTCTCTCTCTCTTTCTCTCTCTCTCCAAAGTTATAACTTGTAAGTATATTATGTATATACAATACATTTACGCCCCGTTTGGCAAAGGGTTAAGGAAGAATGGTTAAAGAGAATGATTAATGTACTTCGCCGATTCGATAATCTGAAGAACTAAATTATTAACATGTTAAATAAGTTTTATTTTAGCCATTGTGATCAATTTTAGTGTTTGGGAATAACAATAATTTTGCCTATTTTCTTTATAATTAGTTTTAATCCTTCTAAATAGAAGTATTAGTAAAGCCCTCATTTTGAGGGGTTAACTCATTTTAATCTCTCTAGAGGGGTTAGCTTAACCCTTCTATATTTTTTATGTTTGACAAATTATGAAGGGTTAACTTACTTTAACCTTTGTATAGATTTTTTATGTTTGGCGGGTTAAGAAGGGGTTAAGTCTCTTTAACCCCTTACTTAACCCTTTGCCAAACGGTACCTTAATTACATATCATATATGTATATATAATTATGAAGGGTTAACTTACTTTAACCTTTGTATAGATTTTTTATGTTTGGCGGGTTAAGAAGGGGTTAAGTCTCTTTAACCCCTTACTTAACCCTTTGCCAAACGGTACCTTAATTACATATCATATATGTATATATAATATATAGTTGTACTCTCTCTCTCTCTCTCTCTCTCTCTCTCTCTCTCTCTCTCTCTCTCTCTCTCTCTCTCTCTCTCTTAGCATGGTATAAATACTAAGATATAACAATATAAACATATACAATGTAGTTATAAGTATACTTATATGTGTATATTATAGAATTACAGTTATATAAGTATATATAAGTATATTGCATCTAGTATATATAAAACTAAAGTATATCATATAAGTAAATGGTATAACTGTACTTTAATAAGCATAATGTAAATATGTAACAAATAAATAAATAAATAAATAAATAAATAAATAAATATATATATATATATATATATATATATATATAGTAACAAATACATATATAACTATATAATACATATTTATTAATAAGTAATATATACTTATATTTACATATAATATATGTATATATAATATATAGTTATATAATAACTTGTAAGTATATACTAATACATATTTATATAAATATAATAATATTAATCTATTTTTTAGCAATTTTTTACCAAAAAAGAAAAAAATTAAAATGGTCGGGCTAGGCCGGTCATTTTCATATGCAGAGATTTTTAGTTAATTGTTAAATTATGGTTTTTTCATATGTAGAGATTTTTAGTTAATTGTTAAATTATGGTTTTTTATATGATTAACTAATTATTAATAAAAAAGTTACTTTTATCATTTAATTCCTATGATTTTTTGTATTTTTTAATTATATAATTACAAGTGATTAATGATATGATTGTTTTTATCAAAATTTTGTTTAATTTTTGCTATGTATTAATATTGAAAAAAATTGAATAAATTTAAAAAATAAAAAACCAGGGTAGCCCGATGCCCAACCTGCTCAGGCTTGGGCCCAGGCCTCGCTTTTGCCCGGCCCGGGCCCATTTTTTTGGGTCGGGCTGGGTCAGGGCGTTTGGACAGGCCGAGCTACAAAACTAGGACTTAACATCACTGAAGATTGATTGTTAGAAATAATGTTAATGGCAACTGGAGGGGTCCTACCATTATCAATATCAAAATTTCCTTTTTCTCCGAAAAAATATGTAAGTAGAAAGAATCATTATTGGTGCCTTTAGGTGGTTACAACAGAAATCAAAATAGCGGTAAAGGAGAGTACAACAATTGGTAGGATTTTATGTAATTTTTTTGTGACGCATGTATCCCTCTCCATGACTGCCTTGATCATGTGAAGACATTAGACACCCCCCCGCCCCCCACCCCACACCCACACACAATCACTTTGACCCTCACATTCTCTTGTTTCGCTTGTGGACGAATTTTGAAAACCATCCTATTTAAGAAAATAATTGCAAAAATCGACCAATTCACAAAATATTTGTGAAAACCGATCTAGTTTCAGCCGTCGAGTTAAAACTGGGTCGGTTTTGAAGAAAAATCTTCCGAAACTTCGTGGGACTAAAGTCTCGTGAAGTTTTTGTACATTACAAAACTTTACGGGACTTGAAGTCCCGTGAAGTTTCGGAACATATTTTGTTAAAACCAACCAAGTTTCAGCCAGACGGCTGAAACTAGATCGGTTTTCACAAACATTTTGTGAATAGATCGGAATTTGCGATTATTTTCTCAAATATGATGGTTTTCAAATTTCGTCCTCCCCTCGTAGAGCCTATTACGAGAGCAACTGTGAGCTCCAAATTGGAAGAAAATAAGGCAAAGTATTTATGTTTTGTATGGTCAAATACTTCACAAATATATATCACTGCTTCTTTCATTTGTGAAATGTAAGTTCTAGTAGAGCATATATATAGAATACTCGGATACCATTTTATGTCCCCACAATGACAACCTCGACCATGTGAAAACGTAGGCAGGTTCTCCCCCCATCACTTTGACCCTAATTAGCTGTTCTTGTTTCCAATGTGTGGAGCCCATCATCGAGCATCCTATCATAATCAAACTGAAAATAATTAAACAGAGTCGTATAAATTTATTTTGGCGGTGTATAAACATTCGATCAGGTGAGGAGAACAGATTATTACGTGTTTAAATTCACGTGAAAAAAGTAATATGGGAATTAAGAAAAAGGATGAATGAAGAGAAAAATGAGGAGATGAGAAGAATGAGGTAGACTGGATAGGACGTCGAGGATAAGATTTCTAGGGTTGAGATATTCAAGAGAGAGAAAAATGTTCCCTCCACTTAAATTGACGTCGACAAGAAAGTGAGAAATGAATCAAATAACTTTAATAATAGAAAGGATCGATCGAGGCCTGCGATGGAAAAAATAAAGAGCTTTGCATATAACTACCATCGATCATGCGAGCGTGAAAAATTTCATCGAGTGTTTTTCTATGATACCTACATGTTAATTTTAGAGCTTTTTAACTAATAATATTTGCTAAATTTGCTATTAAATCAACCAAATTTCTTTTTCAAACTTATCTTAATTTTATTTTAAAATAGAGTTGAGATATTTCTAATGAAAATTTTAACAAATACTAATTACTTAGAAAGATCTAAAATTAGCATGTAAGTATCGTAGAGAAATATTCGGGTGGTAAAAATTTCCACATATGCATGATTGGTAGCGGTAACGTGGAAATTTTCAAAGCTTTATGGGTTTTATACCAAAATACAACTTGTGGTATTTAATTGTCAAAATAGAAAAAAAAAATTATTGTATTTTTTGTGCAATTTAGCCTTTTAAAATGATTGCAGACTTTGGGACAATCTAAACTTTTTATCTCCCATCAGAAAAGAGAACTTTATATGTTTCTTTTTCTTTTTATATCCTCCTTTATTCCATGTGTCCAGCCGCTTTCCCAAATTTGCCGAAAGCACAGAACAACAGCTTTGCTGGCAGCAACCAGAGACGTTCCCTCTCACAATTTCTCTACGTCAGAAACTTGCTTAAATAAAAAAAAAATTTACACTCGAGATGTCTAAAACTTGATATTTGGACACTTCGATGCTAGTTCTATCCAATGTTATAGAATATATATATATATATATATATATATGAGTAGAACTTGTGTCAACTTAAGTGGATAGTGAATAGTGTGTCCACCAAACTTTATATCCACTCATTTAACATATAAAAAGTCACTTCATATCATGCAAGGATCCCTAGGAAACATCGAAGAGTTAAAAAGTTTAGTGGATGTCCACTTAAGTGGACACAAGTTTTGCTCATATATATATAGGGAAAAATGCTTCCAGCCCCCAAAAGCCAAGTGAACATGCTTCCCACCCCCAGGACTTGGTCAATTGGTGTTTTACCCCTAAAAATAAAGAATCTGTTCTCTGAGCCCCCAAAACACAAAACCCAAGACATTAAAACATGTGAAGACCATAATACCCTTCTCTCTCTCTTTCTTTTTTTATTAAAATATGATGGAGGATTATTTTATTATTTTTGTTTTCTCTCTCTCTTTATCATGATGTACCAAGAGGATAGTTGAAATGATTGATGAGGATTATTTTATTATTTTCGTTTTTTATTATTTTGGTTGTTTGTATTGGGAGGTTGTTAAAGTTACGGGTTGATTGTTAAGGTTACGGGTTGGTTGTTAAGGTTAAGGGTTTGTTGTTAAGGTTATGAATCCTCTCTCTCTCTCTTTCTTTTTTTATTAAAATATGATGGGGATTATTTTATTATTTTTGTTTTCTCTCTCTCTTTATCATGATGTACCAAGAGGATAGTTGAAATGATTGATGATGATTATTTTATTATTTTCGTTTTTTATTATTTTGGTTGTTTGTATTGGGAGGTTGTTAAAGTTACGGGTTGATTGTTAAGGTTACGGGTTGGTTGTTAAGGTTAAGGGTTTGTTGTTAAGGTTGTGAATCCTCTCTCTCTCTTTCTTTTTTTATTAAAATATGATGGGGATTATTTTATTAGACTTGGTCAATGGGCGTTTTACCCCTAAAAATAAAGAATCTGTTCTCTGAGCCCCCAAAACACAAAACCCAAGACATTAAAACATGTGAAGACCATAATACCCTTCTCTCTCTCTTTCTTTTTTTATTAAAATATGATGGGGATTATTTTATTATTTTTGTTTTCTCTCTCTCTTTATCATGATGTACCAAGAGGATAGTTGAAATGATTGATGAGGATTATTTTATTATTTTCGTTTTTTATTATTTTGGTTGTTTGTTTTGGGAGGTTGTTAAAGTTACGGGTTGATTGTTAAGGTTACGGGTTGGTTGTTAAGGTTAAGGGTTTGTTGTTAAGGTTATGAATCCTCTCTCTCTCTCTTTCTTTTTTTATTAAAATATGATGGGGATTATTTTATTATTTTTGTTTTCTCTCTCTCTTTATCATGATGTACCAAGAGGATAGTTGAAATGATTGATGATGATTATTTTATTATTTTTATTTTTTATTATTTTGGTTGTTTGTATTGGGAGGTTGTTAAAGTTGCGGGTTGATTGTTAAGGTTACGGGTTGGTTGTTAAGGTTAAGGGTTTGTTGTTAAGGTTGTGGATTTATTGTGTAGGTTACGGATTTGTTGTTAAGGTTACGGGTTTAATTGTTAAGGTTACGGGTTTAATTGTTAAGGTTACGGGTTTAATTGTTAGGGTTACCTATCTAAAGATCCTCTTGGTACATCATGATAAAGAGAGAGAGAGAGAAATAATAAAATAATCATCATCATATTTTAATAAAAAAAGAAAGAGAGAGAGAATGGTATTATGGTCTTCACATGTTTTAATGTCTTGGGTTTTGTGTTTTGGGGGCTCAGAGAACAAAATCTTTATTTTTAGGGGTAAAACACCTATTGACCAAGTCTTGGGGGTGGGAAACACGTTCACTTGGCTTTTGGGGGCTGGAAGCATTTTTCCCATATATATATATCCATTTGCCAATGTTGCCAACAATGTTGCCAACCTATCGTGCGATTGCGCTGCATGATGACATCTTCATATATTGTTCGTCACCAATTGAATGATCCTAACCGACTCCAACCAAGACGTTTGAAATATTTCACCTCATTTCTAATTTTGCTCTACGCATTGATTGAAACAATATATACAAGTTCTCGCGCAACAAACGCAGCATTGATTGAAACAATTATGCAGCCAGTTTTATCCAATTTTGCTCTCTGCATATTTGCATCTTTTTACACGCTATGGGTTTCGACAAAAAATCAAATGTTCAACAAAACAACCCCAGAGCATAATAATATGGAAAGAAACAGGACGGGGAACAAACAAGGCAGCGAGCTCCTTCCAACAAAAAATCATCTCAGCATCGACTACTCCCTTAATTCACAGAGTCTCTGAACTATACACATTCATTTCGTTCGTTCATATAAAAATCAAACAAAGATCAGACGATAGAAAGCTAAGAACTGCATGACGATCACAATCCAAACAAACCAAACTCTTGCAAGAACCCAGTTCACACTGCGGTTCAGAAGCTGGCAGAGTTGCACGCCGAACCGCCACCGAAGCCGTCTCCCCACCCTCCCTCCGAAACGACACCAGCCCATCCGAAACGACACTCCTGCACACTCCTGCCTCCTCCTCCTCCTCCTCCTCCTCGTCACCCCTCACGACCTTCAGCGTCCTCCTCGCCATCTCCTTCGCCACCTCATCCCCTCCCTCCCCTTCGCACGAGCACCCCATCAGCGCATCTCTCGGCCCGGCCGCCTTCGCCAGCGCCCGAAACCTCAGGCTCCCTTTGCTCATCTCGTACATTGTAGCCAAGGCAGTGCTCTTCCTCTCTCGCCGGACACCCCCTCCTCCACCATCGCCACCATCGACTTCACCGCGCCCGCGTCCATCAGCGGCCACCCTGCCTCGCCTCTCCTCGCCAGGCTGCGCCAGAATCATCAGCCCGATCCTCCCGCCGTCGCCCCCTCCCCGCGCGGCCGCGCGTGCTGAGTACGGCCCTGACCGCCCCGGCATCTCGCGATCTTGACGAGGTTGTTCGGGGCCAGGGAGAGTGGTACAGGGCCATCCCGGCTTCGGCGTTCCCGGACGCGAACATGCTAACCAACGGCGGGAATCGCCGCGAGAACCCCGATGGCGAGCTTGTTCTCGTCGTCCAGAGCCAGGCTGAAGAGGGCCCGGCCGCGTTGTCTCTGGCCTCTGCGGAGGAGAGAGGAGGACATTGAGGGCTTCGATGAGAGGAGGACGGCGCCGGACCGCGACGATCTTGAGCCTTGTTGGGGGGCTCGGACGGAGAGGTTGACGATGACGCGGTGGAGTCCGTCCGGGTCGATGGCTCTTGGAGCCGATCATGGGGACCAGGGCCTGCAGGAGCCTGGGAGTGCAGAGGGAGACTCTGAGCTCGCTGCTCTCCCTCGTCGACTGCCTGAGGGCTCGGAGGCCGGACTCCCTGGACGGAAAGCTGAGGGCTTTTGAGCTTGGTCAAGATGCTGGCCTCCTCCTCACGGGGCTTCGGCTTCACAGGGGGATTTTGGGGCCTTGGACTCCGTCTCAGGGAGGAGGAGGAGAGGAGGGAGGTTGAGGTGGCGGATCATTTCGGATGAGGAGAAGGAGGAGCCGAGGCGGAGGAGGAGGAGAAAGAGGCCGAGGACGAGGGGGGACCGAGATGGTTTTTCTGATCTAGGGTTCTTGGAGCGCGATGGCCTCCTCAGCTGCCGCCGCCGCCTCTCCCCCTCCCTGGTTTCTTGGCTGGGCGCGTTGGAGCCGATCAAATCCTGACGCAGAGCCCGGCGCGACTGCGCGCGAGAGGGGCGCGGGGCACCGAGGCGCGTCTGGCAGAAGTCGGCGATGGCGTCCCGGAGGCGGCGTGTTGGGCGATCAGGGGAAGAAGGGAGGAGGGAGCTCCATTCAGAGCATGCTGTTCGCGGCAGGGTGAAGCCGCAGCTGGATGAAGAGCCTCGATGCCAGCGCCCGCTCGAAGGTGTGATCCCGTGGCCGTGGACGATGACCGGGTCGAACATGAGAGAGGACGAAATCGGGCAGATAAAACTCATGGGGATGTTCGAAGAGGACGAAGGAATCGAAAGAGGAGAAGGGGGAGCAGCGCCCGAAGAAGAAGAAGACGACGATGAAGTGCGGCCGAAGGAGAATTTCCACCGGGACCTCGAAGAAGAAATCGGCATATTTGTACAATTTTTTTTTTCTATTTTTAAGAATGCAAGGGAGAGGAGCAGAGGAAGAGAGTAAAGCTAAAAAAGTGAATCCTTAGCG